GATGATATCCTACAAACCACTTACTGCCGTGTCTAGGGGGCCGTCCACACGTTCTTTTTCAGCAAGACAACGCACGTCTTCATATTGCTCGTTGTACTACAGACATTCTTCAAAAAGCAGGCGTTAATGTTTAGACGTGGCCACCCCGTACACCGGATTTAAATCCCATCGAACATGTGTGGAATATGATAGGGAGGACTCTGCCACAGCTAATCCACGATGTTCGAGTTGCTTGGAATGAGGTGCCACAACAAGACAACGATCATCCCATTTTATCGATGCCTATACGTATACAGGAGTGTATTCAGGGTCGCCCAACACATTATTAATTTTTTCTCTTATTACTTTAATTTCGTGGGAAATGTATCGTTTCATTCCTGATGTAAGACTACCTCATTGCCAAAAATCAAGTTGAAGAAATTATTTTTTCTAGGTGTAACACTTCTAATGTCATTGAGTATATTTCCTTTTATATACCGAAACATCTGCGTTGGTAGACGCTTTAATACCGGGGCACCGGGGCACCGGGGCTGCCATAAATGTGCGGAGTACGACACGGTTAGGATGGGAGGCCTAAGTCAGGCGGGTCTGTCTGGCAGGCCCTGAGGGGCGAAGCTCGGTGGCATAGCGGTAGAAGAGAGCTAGATCGCTAACGACCCGTCGGTGCGGAAGGGTCTCGAGACTGTTCGCCAGAGAAGAGTCATCGTTCTCTTTCCTGTTAGTCAAGGTTACAGTATCCTGTTTTGGAAGCATTAAACTGTAACAGATTGTTGCGTCCCTAAGCAGTCATTACCTCCAGGTCTCTCGTAAGAGGAACAATGTCGGAGACAACGACCGACCGATCCCTTAGGAACACCCGCGTTGACTTTGTGGAATGATGAGGAGGATGTAAGGGTGGGGCTTTGATTCTTTTTTTGGAATGGACTGGATATGAGGACATTTCCATTTTTGTGGCAAACTGACTTCCCTTTCCATGGCTCCTTAGAAAAGAGGCTTTGTACAAAAGTTTTATACTAAGTGACATATAAATCCGAACATAAATGGTTTTATTTTAATAAAAGTTGGTGAATGTATTTATCTTACTGTAAATAACAAGTGAAAAAATTTTCAGCCTTATCAGTTGGACATTCCGGTTTTTATACTGCTTTTTTTTAATTCACTAATGCTCTAAAAATGAATATTTCAGCCGCAGTAAAGAATCAACGTTGGCGGATTTTGGTTCTTGACATCCTTTACGATCGGTTACGATGCCTAGAGTACGGAGACCTGTACGATTTCGTCAACTTAGTGAGTTTGATAGGGGCCGTGTCGGGAAGGTGTCGTCAGGCATGGCTTCGAGAAGACCGTACGCAAAGAGCAAGGGGCACTGGACGCCGCCGTAGAACAACAGACCGTGAAGATCCCCGCCTAAGATTATAGGCCTTAAGGGACCGTTTCTCCACTACCAGGTCAATTGCAAATGAATGGTTTGCAGAACACGGAAGACCTATTGGCATGCGAAGTGTTTACCGACGAATGAGAAGTTTTGGCTTGTTTTCATACCGGCCACACTGGGTCCTCCCTTTAACTCGAGAACACCGACGTAATCGCCTTGAGTGGTGCAGACAACGGTCACTCTGGGATCAGGAATGGAACAGTATTGTCTTTAGTGACGAGTCTAGATTTTGTTTAGGCATGCACGATGGTCGTGCCAGGGTTAGAAGGCGACGTGGTGAAAGGAGGAATCGACAGTTTTTTGTTGAAAGACATGTTCATCACACTGTTGGAGTTATGGTTTGGGGTGCTATAGCGTATGGTTCCAGGTCACCTTTAATCTTCATCAGAGGTAACATGAACGCGCAGCGTTATATCCACGAAGTTCTAGAACCCCATCTTTTACCCTATCTTGTCACCCTGGCAGATCCAACTTTCCAACAAGGTAATGCCCGACCACATGTTGCAGGAGTCACAATAGACTTCTTGCAACATAATGATGTCACATTGTTACCATGGCCACCAAGATCTCCCGACTTATCCCCAATTGAACACGTGTGGGATATGATGGGTAGGAGATTGCTCAATTTGCAACGTCCTTCTCAGACTCTAGAAGCACTTCGAGAGGAGTTGGTGGTTGCCTGGAATGAGATACCACAGGAGGACATTGACCACCTGATCAGAAGCATGCCTAGGCGCGTTGGAGAATGCGTAGCACATCAGGGTGCATCCACACATTATTAAAGGTCAAAGGGCTTTAAAGCAGTGCAATCATTTTGAAATTTTTATCATTTACTTATTATGCTTCATTAAGTACTTATACAAAATTTTATTAAAATAAAACCATTTAAACTGGGTGTTCGGATTTATATGTCACTTAGTATATATTGTTTAATATAAACTATATTTTTTCAAATGGAGCATTGTATATATTCTTAATGGAAGTGATGGGTATTTTTTTTATTTCAAGTATACTAAATGACATAGAAAATGCAACACCGACTAGGAGTGCAGTAATTTTGAGCATACTGTTGCAAGTTTTAGGTCTACTAATAAATAGAAAGTGATTAAAACTTTAACTCGAAATTCTTGGTGTATTGTATCCCAGACCATCTGAATTTGGTTTCGTAGAGCCTCCAATATTTGCAACCACTGGTTCCCAACTGCTCTTGTTGTGGAAAATCGATCTCCAAGTGCTAGTTGCCTCAAATAACGATCCTGAGGATCTGTAGTCTGTATTTTCATTTATGCATTTGCATCTGATTCCGTACCCGTTTGCATGTAGCCACCTATGCAATCTGCTGTAACCCGGGTATATGACTGACACACAAAATTCAAAGTTTCAACTAAATATGTATAACAATGTGCCGCAACGTGTGGGACACGTTGTGCCTCGGACATTTTACCTTGCCTGGTACTTTTGAATGTAAAACATGTTGCGATATCGAAATAACTGTCTGATGCATGCTGCTTAATATGTACAGACCCTCTGACAGTTTGCAACATATTGCGACTCAACTGTCAGCTAGGTTTCTATATAAGCAAGCTGCGCTCGTCAATTGCGTCTGCAACTTGTTGAGGTACAGTTGCCAGTACATGTGCAAGTATTGGGACTACAATAAATTTTGAAAATGAGATGTTACTTGACATCTAAACCTCGGAAAATCATGTCGTTCATTTCCGTCGGACTATCTGTTCGTCTTTTTGTCTGCAAGTCTGCGATCCCTCTAAATTTGATGAAATTTTGTCGCAGGCTTGTCTTATGCTAGGGACGAAGAAGCTTTGTCAGTTTGATCAAAGTGTGTTTTCCCTTTACATTTAAGATTAAATGTTGGAGATGTCTGTAAGTGTTACATTTCTGTGCTTAACGAGATACGTCTAATTCTAAGAAGTTTTTGATCAACTACGCACCTGTTAGAGAAAATTGTCACACATTGTCGTACAAGTGCTTTCCAGCATAAATATGATATTTCTTTTCTACAGCTTGAGATTTAGAAAAGATTCCTTGAGTGAACATACCTAGTCAGGTTTCGATTCCATATATATATATATATATCTTTATTACCTTTTTTTTGAGATAGGATGAACACGAGCAAACATCCAATCCGGTTGGAAAGTACTGAAATTGTAAGGCATATGGAAGAGGCGTTAACCCTTAACTGCATAAGATGTTTCGTTCTCAGTATCGAATGTAACGTTATGAGCTGGCAACCTCGCAAGAGGGTCGGAATAAGCTGATTTGTAAAATAAATTAATGATCGTCGCGTTGCAGAAGTCACCTCCTAGCTGTCACATTGTCTGCTAGAGACCGTTGTATAAGAGATCCCCAGTTAATTACTTGTAAGGATAATTCCTCCTAACGAGATATCTATGCAAAATTCGCGCCACTGAAAAATCACCCGCATGCCCTGTTCTTTATTTCGACTCCCTTTCCCTCTCTTTTCGCTCTCCATCCGGATTATGTTCTTGCATTTATGGATACCGGATTTAATTTAATTTTGTGCGTTATTAGGTAGCCCTGGTGAACGGTATTATACCTTGCAAAATACAAACCTGCTTGATTTCTTAATACTCTAGCCACCACGAAGGTTCGGCACTGGGAACCTTGAGTATTATGGGGTATAGGGAAGGAAAGGGTCAGAGTACCACAGTGACTTGCACATATTTTCCTCTCATATTCAAATTATGCAGGAAACTGTCATTACGTATCAATATGTTATCGACACCTCACCTACCATGGGGTGATAAATACTAAAGATAAGGATCTGTTTAGATATCATCTGCCCTGTCCATATTTTGTGAAGTCACTAGAGAGATACAGGGGTGAGGGGTAAGAGCCCTGGAAGAAGTGTGGAACATATCCATTACCATGCTCTAACGTTGAGTACCTACATGGTACAGTAGAACCCCGATTATCCGAAATTCGTTTTATCCGAAACAGATCGCATACAATAATTTCTCCGTTTCAACCCAAGTTGTTCGGGAAATCGGCGCATGATTCGAAATAGCCGCCGGTAGTTACCCTTTCGGCGTTTGCGTCATTAGACTCGCTGCCGGTGATTCCCCAAGCGCGTTTGCGGAATTCACTGGTATGTATGCGTGTATGTTTGTTTCAGTCAGGTTCATAATCACTCAGATGGAGCAGTATAGAAATAAACGCAAACGCGTTGTTATTACCATAGAACAGAAACTTATTATTATTATTTATTATTTTTTCTGAGTATCACCACTAACAATACGTGTTTTACTAGCTCCGTTATAGCTTCTAAGATCGGTAGTGAGACTCAATTGAAAATTTGTTTGCGAGTATCATAGTTACGCTCACGTAATTACTGAGCATTGGGCAAGTTTTTCTAGTTCATATTTAATAGTTTAACACAGTTTTTTTTTGATAATAAAAGAAAGCTAACCTCTACAACCTCTGGTGGAATTTCTGGAATTTTCATTGAAACAAAGTGGAAATAGTTTTCCAGTGGCGTACTTGTGTTGATTTAGAAAACAAACATTTGCACACAAAATTCATAATTATGCCAGCTAGAGTCCCTTGCAGCTGCTGTAATCAACAGTGTGAGCCTCATCAAATTGTTACGTGCTGTGTTTGTAAGCAGAAATACAAGCATTCCTGTGTGGAAATCAGCGCAAATGAGGTTCGTACTTTAAATTCGAGCAAGGAGTACGATTGGACTTGTAAGGACTGCAGATCCATAGGTAAAGACATTAATGACTTGAAGGCATTAATCATCGATTTGCATAATCAAATAAAGGATTTGAAAACTGATAACACCAAAAATGCAGATTCAAGTTTTTCCATGGAAGACATCATATCTGAGATTTCAGAGCGTGAAAGACGTAGAAACAACGTAATAGTCTTTAATGTCACTGAGCCTGATCAAAAGCCAGAAGTGAGCAAAATGAATCTGATAAAACAGTTGTCGTCAACTTGTTACGTGAAGCTGTCCCTGACGTGAGGCTAACCAACATAAAAGTGATGAGATTAGGAATGTTTTGCGGCACAAAAGTTAGACCCATCAAGGTAATACTTGACAGCTATGACTCAGCATTGCAGGTTCTGGTGAATGCGAAAAAGCTTAAATCAAGTAATACCTTCAAGCATGTAAACATCGTACAGGATCGCACCAAAAGGCAAATGGAGAATTATAAAAGTATCAGAACTGAGTTAGCCAGGCGTCATGAAGCAGGAGATAATAACTGTAGGATCAAGTTCATCAACAATGTACCAAGGATTGTTCCTTTAAACTAGGTCGACCCAATAGTGGATGTAGTGATTTTTTGACAGTGTACTATCAGAATGTTAGAGGGCTAAACAGCAAAATTAACAAATTCTATCCTGCTGTGAGTGACTGTGAGTATAATGTATTTGCTTTAAGCGAAACGTGGCTAAAGCCCGAAGTAAACTCTCTCGAATTATTTCCCAATTCTTTTGACGTTCATCGTAAGGACAGAAAACATAATCAATTGAACCTGTCAATGGGTGGTGGTGTACTACTGGCATTTGAAGCGGCTCTTAACTCTGTTGTAGTAGATACTACGCAGTTTGATACAAGTTTCCCAGAAATAGATTTTTTGGTATGCAAATGCATTGTATCTCATCAGAATCTTTATTTCGCTGTCATATATGCTGCACCACATGTTTCTGTTGATACATTTGAAGCTTTTTTTGTCCGTAACATTAAAAACTGTATGCAAAAAGAGTGAATACGTCACAGTCAGTACTGACCAAAAAAGATATAATTGTAGACGTGCTAACTTTTTTTCGCTGTACAATTCTTTGTTATTGGTTAATTGGGATTTCTTGGATAACACTAGTGACACAAATGATGCAATTAATGCATTTTATACCAAACTTTACGAATTATTCGATGCACACGCTCCACAATATAAAAATTTCAGGCATAAATATCCCTCTTGGTACACCAGTGAAATTATAAAACTAGTAAAACAAAAAGACAAAGCGCACAAAAAATTTAAAAGGTCTGGTGCTAACGAAGATTACCAAGAATTCAGCAGAATCAGGAAGATATTTAAGCTTAAAACCAAAGAGGCATATAATATCTTCAAACCATTCAAAATCAGCTAAATGATGACCCTAAGTCTTTCTGGTCTTTCGTACATAGTAAAAACAACACTTGTAGGATTCCGAATAGAATGTTGTATGGAAACGAGTCATTTGGTGATCCGCAAAGTATAGACAACGCCTTCGCTGATTTTTTCTCCAGCGTTTACTCAACTGCTAAAGTCGATACTGAGTTGAACTTTGATTTCAGTCATAGTGGACTCGTCGGCATTAGTTGTGAGCCAATACCAGATGAGGAAATTTTAGTGGCCTGTAGAAAGCTTAAAAGTAAATTGACTGCTGGACCTGATCAAATCCCATCTTTTATTGTTAGAGATTGTATCAGGAAATTAGTTCATCCTATACGGGTTATCTTCAATTTAATCCTAACAACGACTGTTTTCCCCGATAAATGGAAAATTGCCAAAGTTTGCCCAATTCCAAAGTCAAAAAATTATCACTGTATCAGTGAACATAGGGCTATATCTATACTCAATAATTTTGCAAAACTCTTGGAGATCGTACTGTACAACCGCATCTACCTGTCCACTAAAAATAATATTTCCATCGACCAACATGGTTTTATAAGGCAGCGTTCAACACTAACAAACTTAATGGTATTTAGCCAATACTTGTGCGAAAGATTAGACAAGGACAGGTAGATGTGGTGTACACCGATTTCTCCAAGGCCTTCGATAGGGTCAGCCACAGTATCTTGCTCCGAAAGCTTGAGTACCTGGGCTTCAACAACATTTACTTAGCGCTCTTAACATCATATCTGTTTGAAAGGAAACAGTATGTTTTTTATAATGGCTACATATCACATGTTTATGTCTCAAACAGTGGCGTACCACAGGGTTCGGATTTAGGACCACTGTTGTTCATATTGTTTGTGAATGATCTGTGTGAATCTTTGGCTTGTTCTAAGTTAATGTTTGCAGACGACCTAAAATTTTATTCATCCGTTTCGTGCTTGGAAGACTGTGCATTTGTTCAAGGTCAAATAAATAAATTGCAAAGCTGGTGTGCCAAGAATCAACTTCATCTTAATATAAGTAAGTGTAAAGTAGTAACTTTTTCAAGGAAAACCAACCCAATGGTATATAATTATACAATGATCCAACATGTTCTTGAGCGCAGTGAAACTGTGAAAGACTTAGGTATCTACTTTGATCAACATCTAACCTTTAATGAGCATATCAATCAAATCATATCAAGTGCTTACCGAACCTATGGCTTCGTTATCAGGAATTGTAAATCTTTTGACCTTTTGACTTTGCAGACATTATACTTTAGCTTGGTTAGGTCTAAGCTTGAATATGGATCTTTGATATGGAGTCCGATTTACAAGCAGTATATCGATGTTGTTGATAAACTTCAAAAGAAATTTTTAAAATTTTTATGTTTTAAGATCGATGGCATATATCCTACTAGAGGTACAGAATACAACATCCTTCTTCATAAATTTGGCATTCGATCCTTAGAACAACGGCGTCAGCAATCAGCAGTTATAGTTTTATATAAATTACTGCATAATCTAATAGACTGCCCTACAATACTTTCACAAATACAGTTTCTGGTACCACGACTAACATCAAGGTATAATGTTCCTTTTTTATGTCAAAGAGCTCAAACAAACTTATTGTCGAAAGCGCCTGTCAACATGATGTGTGTGAATGCGAATAAAATAGCCGATGTATGTGACATATTCTTATATAGCATAGGTGAATTGAAGTGCAAATTGCGTGCTCACTTTTGATTTATCTTACGTTTCTTATTTTTAAGCTGTAACTATATTTATTTTTTGTTATTGATACATGAATTATTATTGTTTTTTTTTCTTAACAAGCTACCTCATGGTGATTTTTTTTATAGTAGTTTGCTCTGTAAATGGTGTTAAACTGTTGCGCAATAAACGCTTATTATTATTAATAAACGCTTATTATTATTGAGGGTATCAGACGTTTAGATAGAGGTGATTTGCCTAAAAACGTGGCAAGTGATTTGGGTGTGAACGTGAGTACCATTTCAGAATGGAAAAAACAACGCGAGAAAATTGAAAAGTAGTCTAGTGTTCTGACATCATCGCAGCCGTCACGGAAAACTATGAAGAAAGGGGAATATCAAAAAGTGGATCATGACGAGAACGTGGAATACCAATTTCCGGACCAATTCTAAAGCAAAAGGCAGTCAACTCAAGTGATTGAGGCGTCTGATAACTTTACAGCAAGTGATGGTTGGCTGGATAGATGGAAAAAACGACACGGTATATGAGAAGTAAAAGTTTGCGGATAAAAGTTCTTATCTGCCAATAAGTCCGCTGCATTAAAATTAGGAGAACATTTTGAAGAATTAATGAAGCAGTATGGCTTAAATTCAGAACAAATTTACAACTGCAACGAAGCGGGCCTAAACTATAAAATTCTACCGGCGAAAGTCTTCTAAACAAGAATCTGGAGCTCCTGGTTACAAACGCAGTAAAGAACGTGTGACTATCCTTGCTTGTAGCAATGCTTCTGGATACACAAGCTTCCTTTGTTGTTAATCGGAAAATCAGCTAAACCAAGAGCAGTTAATACGTCCGTTCCAACGCTTTTCCAGTGTGGTATAAAAATCAAAAAAATGCCTGGATGGATGCAGCTCTATTTAAGGACTGGTTTTGCAATCATTTTGTTCCCAAGACAGAACGATACTTGAATAAACGCGAATATCCGAGAAAATGTATTTTACTATTAGACAATGCTCCGAGTCACCCAAGTGAGGAGCAACTTAAAAGTGGAGAAACACGAGTGATGTTTTTGCCTGCTAATGTAACGTAACTGATTCAGCCAATAGATCAAGGAGTTTTAGAAAATTAAAACGCAATTACAGACGTTTATTATTAGAGCAAATGTTAGATCAAGTTGATAATGGTTGTAACCGTGTTGATTGTTTGAAAGAGATTAACCTCAAGAATGTGGCATATTGGAAAGCAGAAGCATGGAGCAAGTACAAACTGTACAAAAATGTTGGTCGACAACAATTAAGCAAGAAATGGAACTTTGCGCAGACTATGAGAATAACAACGAAAATTCACATGAGCTCGTCGTGTAAAAATCTTACCCAACAGACTTTGGTGAGTGGATTAATGGTGATGAATTGGTGGAAAAATTAACTGATACAGAACTAATAAAAACTGTTTGTAGCAATGGCGATGTTAGAGTTTCAAGTGATGCTAGTGACAATGAGACAGAAATCTCTGCCAAAATATCACATTATGAGGGATTAGAAGCTCTACAAAAGGCGTTGACTTACGTCGAACAACAAGAAAATGCGGCAGCAGCTGATGTGCCACTTATCAAACGTTGGAGGGATAGTGCTGCCAAAAATAGGAACAATGCAAAGCATGTACAGTTAAAAATTACTTCCTTTGTTACTAAATACTCGTAAATATGTTTGTATCCACATATTTATATTTTATGTAACTTTATATGGGTATATACTCACTTAACACACGCATTTACTTTTTCGATAAAAGTATGAGTTTAAATATTCATTTCCATTTTATACGAAATTTAATTATCCGAAAGCACTGGGGTCGACATTCTTTTGGATAATCGGGGTTCTACCATATAATGTCTGTTTATAATTATTATTTTTATTCTTTTTGAATGCTCAGCTTGACGATACTACCGGGTATGTAGGATGCAGGCTCTATTAAATTGCATTAAAAAATTTCCTGACTATACGGCATGCATTAAGTATTGTCGCCTTTTATTACCTTTATAGAATTGTTTTAGAACAATGGGATCAAGCTTGTAGGGGTTATTCAGTGTAACAGTAGAAATCATTTGAGTATAGGGACCCATATCCGGAAAAGTGTCACTACGGCACTACGGCCCTAAGACGCGTTAA